GAGGCTATAAATGACTTTGAATTTTTACATTATGTTGTGGATAATTCTGGTAATATTGTTTTGACATTATAACAATCTCATTGTTGCCAGAAAGGGCAGAAAACTGCAACAAAACCTACAAAAGTATATTTTGTCTCAATACCAAACTTAATTTCCTTACTTCAGAATGCAAAATTCACATAGAAAATAGAAGCAATTTAATACTGCTGGCAACTTAATTGGAAGTGATCAAATTACTTCCTATTTTAAGCATGGAAAAAGTTTCCCTGTGTAAATAAGGAAGGAAATCTATTGAAACATACAAACCTTTTAAAAGATATTTTAAAGTAATGGTTCAAAATAATTAGCCACCAACAGCATTTCTCATCTAAAATACATTATTTTGAAAAGAAGAGCATCTGAACATGCATTACCATCTCTTAAATGATCCACTATAAAAGTGAAGCCTGTAGTTCTTGGGTGCAAGACATATTCATACTTCTGAAGTCCATTTTTTTCAGCAAATTTATCACTGCGGGCTTTAGTTTCATCTAGAGACAAAAGCAGTAGGAAAAACAATTATTAAAATGCCTTAAATTTCAGCACTACAGAGAGCATCACTAGCATAAAGGATCAAAGAGGTTATAATAGAATGTATTTATTTCAATAAAAAATCATCACAAAAAACTTCTTTCACTTTCTGAGGAAGGAGGTTCCACGTCGCAATGTCATAACGTGTGGTCTCGATACACCGAGACCGCCGTTGACACTTTTGCCAATGTACGGTCCATTGAGACCTAAACCTCCCATAAAGACAGTGATCAGGAAGACGAAGCCTTGCTGGTCTCACAGACATCGCAATGTCCCTGATAGACCCAAGGGAAGTGCTTCAAGCCAGTGGTAAACAGGCAGCTCCCAGGCTGATGAAATCGGGATGCTCCGGAAGGAAGGAAGTGAAAAGAGAAAGTGAGTCCATCTGGTGAGGTATTTTTTTCTATTTTGCTAAAGACTTCCCAAAGAAATTTTTCTTTAAAGTCAAATTAGATCTTTAAGCAAAAGAACTGAGCAGCGAAACTAACCCTAATTGGATTGCTGTGGAAAGCTTTTTTTTTTCACTTCCTTCC